CCTCGCCCAGATCATTGATAAAGAGATTAAACAAGAGTGGTCCCAAGACTCACCCCTGGGGAACACCGTTTGTGACTGGCCACCGACCAGATTTAACTCCCTTCACCACCACTCTCTGGGCTCGGCCTTCCAGCCTGTTCTTTACCCAGCGAAGAGCGCACCTCTCTAAGCCATGAGCCACCAGCTTCTCGAGGAGAACACTGTGGGAGACAGTGCCAAAGGCTTTACTAAAGTCCAGGTAGATAACATCCACAGCCTTTCCCTCACCCACCGGGCAGCTCACCTGGCCACAGAAGGCGATCAGGTTCGTCAAGCAGGACCTGCCTTTCAGGAACCCGTGCAGACAGGGCCTGATCGCCTGCTTGTCTAGTATGTGCTGCATGGTGGCACTCAAGATGATCTGCTCCGTAACCTTCCCCTGCACTGATGCTGATACTGACAAGTCTGTAGTTCCCCGGATCCTCCTTCCGGCCCTTCTTGCAGATGGGAGTCACATTGGCTAACCTCCAGTCAACTGGGACGTCCTCAGTTAGCCAGGACTGCTGCTAAATGATGGAAAGTGGCTTGGTGAGCACTTCTGCCTGCTTCCTCAGCACCCTTGGGTGGATCCCATCCAGCCCTGTGTGTGTATCTAAGTGGTGCAGCAGATCGTTGACCATTTCCCCTTGGGTTATGGGGGCTTCATTCTGTTCCCCATCCCTGTCTTCCAGCTCAGGGGGCTGGGTACCTGGAGAACAACTGCTATTACTTATAAAGACTGAGGCAAAGAAGGCATTACGTACCTCAGTCTTTTCCTCATCCTTTGTCACTGTGTTCCCCCCCCACATCCAATAAAGGATTCTCCTTAGCTCTCCTTCTGTTGTTAACATATTTATAGAAACACGTTTTATTGTCTTTAATGACAGTAGCCAGATTAAGTTCTAGCTGGGCTTTGGCCCTTCTAATTTTCTCCCTGCATAGCCTAATGACATCCTTGTAGTCCCCCTGAGTAGCCTGCCCCTTCTTCCAAAGGCCATAAACTCTTTTTTTTCCTGGATTCCAGCCAAAGCTCTCTGTTCAGCCAGGCCGGTCTTCTTCCCCGCTGGCTTGTCTTTTGGCACAGGCCTGCTCCTGCGCCTTTACGATTTCCTTCCTGAAGAACGTCCTGGACTCCTTTGCCCTTCAGGCCTGCCTCCCAAGGGACTGCCAACCAGGCTCCTAAACAGGTTAAAGTCCGCCCTCTGGAAGTCCAAGGTGGCAGTTCTGCTGACCCCCCTCCTTACTTCTCCGAGAATCAAAAACTCTTATAATTTCATGATCACTGTGCCCAAGACAGCCTCATACCATCACATCACCCACAAGTCCTTCTCGGTTCACAAACTACAAGTCCAGTGGGGCGCCTTCCCTAGTGGACTCACTCACCAGCTGTGTCAGGAAGTCTCTTCCACACACTGCAGGAACCTCTTGGACTGTTTCCTCCTGTTTTTGTCATGCACGTGTCAAAATGTAATGACTGCATTTTTCAAACTTACCAAGTGAAGCAAGAATCTCCAGGGTCCTCATTGTGGGCTGGATATAAAACCAGAGTTTCTGCAGTGACAGAAGTCCCTGTCTCTGAAGATGTTCCAGCTGGGTTATTAGTATCATGTATTCCTTGATTAGAGTCCGCATAGCAGCAGCCAGAGCGTGATTTACCTGTCCATACTCGAAGGAAGACTTCTCCTCTATAAACCTGTAAAAAGCAAAATGGAAACTCTTTCAGGCAAGGCACCTTCTATCATTTTCAGGAATTTTATCTTCAGGACACTGTACAAGCACATGAGTAGGTTGTGCGTTGGAAAGCGCACCAGTCTTCAGCTGGAGTTTCAGGTTCCACATTTGCTCTGTGTCCCCCTATTTCCCGTCACCACATTTCCTAGCGCAGAAAGCTGTGGGAAGACTTTTCCTCTCCAGTTGCAGGGGAACTAGAATTATTTGCAAAACCACTATGTAAAAAGTGAGAGCCAGGATTTTCAAGGTAATTGTCTTTGCATAAACAGCAGGTTAGAGGACAGGAAAAGATCTCAAAAGGAAGCAACGTGCACCCAGGCATGTGGGGAAAGCACTGTTGCTAGCTTCTGACACCACATGCCATAGCGGGGATTTATCTGACCAGATTTAGATGGGTTCATGCATGTCAGTGGAGAGAGACAGATGCTTCTGAATGCGAGTCATATCATCTGGAAGGAGCCATGTAAAAAAGATTTGATGAATCACATCCTAAAAATGCTTCTTTATCTTTGCTGATCTTTTAGGGACTTTGAATCAAATGCAGACATCTACACGACAAACGTCTGCTGTTAGTGAGGTATACCTCATACTAAGACCTTTTAACAATTACCTAAGGTAGCTTAGGCAGCAGGAGCTTCTCCTGCTCAGAAGCACACAAAGGTTGTCTCAGTCCTGGATGACCAGAGGAGAGAAAAAAGCCGGAAACGTGGAGAAATTCTCCGAAGAGTGGGAAGACACAAGCCAGAATAAGTAGACATATCCTGTTTGCACTTTGCCTGAATGTACCAAGACCAAGTTTTGACAAAGCAAAGGTGAGGTGAAAAAAGTGAACTGGCAGCACAGAGGAGAAACCCAGCAAAAAGAAATGCAGTTAAACCAATTCAAAGAAATTGTCATTCTTATTTTATATCCCCATAGGTTGAAATTAAGCTTGGAAGTTAACATCTGCACAGTGATGGATTCTCTATTCTACAACCTGATGCTCAAAGGAGAATATCCTCTCCTGACAAACGTCAGCTTGGTACCTGGTGACAGCAGAGTAACTTGCTGCTACAGGAAGAATCCTGGTCACCAGCTCTTTGATGGACAAGTCCAAGTTTGGATCAACTGAAAACGCTCGGTTTTGCCTGCCTACAAGAGCCTGTGCTGTGATGTATCTTCCATCCACGCCAATCAGAACGTACAGCAAGTCCTCCACAATCACGGATTCTTGGGAGGCTAATGGCAAAGTACCTGTTTTCAAAGAGAAGACAAAAAAAGAACACAATCAGAACACGCCGTAGTACTACCTGATCGTACATTCATATAATTTCAATCTAGTACCTGAAGCTTGAAAGGAAGACATACTACCATTCAAAGAGAGCAAAGGAAGATCACACAAAGCTGAATCAAGATATAGAGAAATAAAACTGAGTTAAGGTCAACTCCAAAATCATCTACCTTGCTTTCCAGGAAAACAGAATCCTTTGCTCATTTATACTTGAAGCAAATCAAATAGACAGGGCTATATATCTGACATCTGTGGCCAAGAGAACATCACCCACAGCTTGTGGTGCTCATCCTTCCACCTAAAAGGCCTCAGTTATACTAGACCCGAGGAGCTCCAATCTTGTCAACAACTCCCCCTACCTCCCCTCCACTGAAATACTCAAATGTCAAGAAAACAGTTCAAACAGAGGCACAAAGAAATGCTAGCCCAGCAGGTGAACTGCAAACTGTACGGTCTCTGAATGGTGTGGTCAACTACAAACCAGCTGCAAAGAAGCATAAAGGACTCAACCCAAAATATAATCAAATGCATCAGAAGATCAGGGAACAGAGTGGATACAACACTAACTACACCAAAGCTTATCTCATGAAACAAGGCAACGGTCCCTCTGCATTTGTAGGACTGTATGTGAGAAGACAAACGGTTCTGAGCTTGCAAGGAACATACCCTCACAGCACATCCCAAAAGGACCCGGCAGAAATGCACTGGTGGACAAGCCATTTAAGGGCATCTCCAAGAACGAGCCTACTGTTTTCATGTCCCCTCCTCAGATGCAGCCCAAATCCAGAGCAGGAAGAAGCTACAGGTTTCCTGTAGGAGCTTCCACAGTTCTGGAGAATGGAAACACGAGTCTCTAACTCAGCCGTTCTCTTCCAAAACATGTACTTAAATTTAATGCATGAATAATAAACTAGTCCCCTGCTGCTCTGGCGAGGAGAGAGACAGCAAATCAGGGAGGTTGTTATAGCCTTACTGGAGAGGATATTGAGTTGGGTGGATTGATGAATACTGCCTTGTCAGGTATGACTACAGATTTTTCAGCTGAGAATACAGATGTGATACTCCTACAGTAGGATTTTATGGAGGCTGTGGCTCAAGAGAGAAAAAGGACTGGGAAACTCAAAATAGATTAGATCCCACGGATCAACAGTGGGGCTGGAATTCAGCACAGGAGAAATACTATGAACAAAGTAAGTTTACGGGGTTTTTTTTGAACCCTGCTCTTCCATCTGCAGATGCAAGGAACCAAGTTCTGCTTTCATCCTGAGTGTCATGAAATCTGAATGGCACTTCTGAACAAGTACAAAACATAAAAAGTTAATGCAATTTTCCCTGCATATCACATACCTATAGGTACCGTTGTGTCAGTGCTTAAACTGGTGCCAATTAAGAAATCACCAATAAGCGCAGGTCTCTCATACACCCAGGATGGAAATACTGGAATGGGATGACCAAAATTCTTCTTGTTCTGCTTATCTCGGAGGATTTTTCGTGTAAGCTCAAGAGGCTGTTGGAAAGACAGAGAGAGGGAGGGAGGGAAAAAAAGAGATCTTCAGAAGCCCAAGAAGTTTTGAACTTTAAGCAGAAATTGACTGTAAACTGATAACTTGAGAACAGAAAGCAGAATAGCTGATGTTTCAGTAGCACAGTGTAGGACTTGGTCTCCCAATACCATCTAGTCTATTGGTTTCGGTGCTGCAGAGGTGATTTTTTTTTTACACAGCTGGATGCCTTTTTATTGGAGGGTACATCAAATACGCCTTTCTGCGTGCCTTCCCACCAGCTTGGGTGCTAAGGCACATGCAGGGAAGCAGAATGGGGACATGCACAACCACTATGCAGCTTACTAGTTCGCAAAGCACACCACATGAAAGGCAGCAAACTCCTTCCAGAAGCAGTAAGCAGTAACATCTTATTCAGCGGGCACTTGCAGATAGGCTAACGAACACCTCTCAAACACCGTGCCCGTTGTGAGGCTGCATGCCAAATGCAATCCCGATAATCTACCCACAGCTAGCAGGAAAACAACAAAGTTTTTTATTCTGAATAAGAGTCAGTGAAGGAAGCGAGCTCTTGAAGACCAAAAGACTTTCCACCCCTGGCTCCGGGTCTCTGACACTAAAATAAATGGAGTGCAAAATTAATTGTCAGCTGGAGAGGCCTGCGAGATGTACAACCTACATGAACATTTAGAGCCCCACGTGCACAAAGACGGGGGGACATGCTTATGAATGCCATTTCTTAAGCTCCACAGATGTGCATGTGAAATGAGATATGCACAGGGTCCTTCCTCTCATGGGAGGACTCAGAGGAGAGAGGAACTTCGGAAGGAAGCAAACATACATGTGAGCTTTGCACCTTCAAGAATGGTGCTCTTACATGTGAGGGGTAGTTAATGCACACTGAAGCTGGCCCCGGCCATGTTTCATGTTGTCAGAGCTGCCCAGTGCTGGGTCTCAAAATCCTTCAGACAAGCATCAGCTGTAGGACCACTCCTTCAAGCAGCACCAGTTCTGGGCACGCTCGCTGCAGCCTCACCGCTGGCATAACACCATACGATGTCTTCAGGTCAGAGAGGCACCCCAAAGCAATGCCATGTTCCTATTTACACTGTGATCTGCTAGAAGGACCTCAATTTCCTCTGGTCCCCTAACAGGAACAGGACTCCTATAGGACAGTATGGAGAAGGATGAAGCATCATTGCTGCCAGCAATTCAAAGGATGACTAAACTTCACGTAAAATTGAAGACCTCAGTGTAGGACTGAGTCCTTCACATGGGTAAACAACCTGAACTCCTTCATAAATCTTAAACCCATGCAGTGAGAAAATACTCCTCTATTGAAGTAGTATATAGTACTTGTCCAACACGATCTGGATACAGACATTGGTTAAAACACCAAAACATCACGGGCACTTTCTGTATCTGGAATGGAAGATCTCCCTGTAGCACTGGCCCTACGCAACATGGCTGCATGAACAAGCTCCTGCTTAAGATAAGGGCAGCTTTCGCTACATCTTCCCAAAGAGCAGGGAGGAATGACAGCTTATTCTGGGGGTCATCAATAAGCATGTGGGGGACAAGGAGGTTATTGGGAGTCACCAACATGGATTCACCAAGAGGAAATCCTGCCTGACCAGTCTTCTTCATGCCTTCTATGATGGCATGACCGGCTGGGTGGATGAGGGGAGGAGCAGTGGCTGTTGTTTACCTTGACTTCAGCAAGGCTTTTGACGCCGTCTCCCACAACATCCTCAGAGGCAAGCTTAGGCAGTGTGGGTTGGATGAGTGGACAGTGAGGTGGGTTGAGAATTGGCTGAATGGCAGAGCCCAGAGGGTTGTGATCAGCGGAGAAGAGTCTGGTTGGAGGCCTGTAGCAAGTGGTGTGTCCCAAGGGTCAGTGCTTAGTCCAGTCTTATTCAACATCTTCATCAATGACGTGAGCAGAGGACAGAGTGCGCCCTCAGCAAATTCGCTGACGGTACAAAATAGGGAGGAGTGGCCGACACAGCAGAAGGCTGCGCTGCCATTCAGTGAGATCTGGACAGGCTGGAGAGCTGGGCAGAGAGGAACCAAATGAACTTCAACAAGGGCAAGGGTAGGGTCCTGCACCCAGGGAGGAATAACCCCAGGCACCAGTACAGGCTGGGGTTGACCTGCTGGGAAGCAGCGCTGCGGAAAAGGACCCGAGAGTCCTGGTGGACAACAAGCTCTCCATGACCAGCAGTGTGCCCTCGTGGCCAAGAAGGCCAGTGGTAGCTGGGGGGCATTAGGAAGAGCGAGGCCAGCAGGTCGAGGGAGGTTCTCCTCCCCCTCTGCTCTGCCCTGGTGAGGCCACGTCTGGAGTTCTGTGCCCAGTTCTGCGCTCCCCAGTTCAAGACAGACAGGGAACTACTGGAGAGAGTCCAGCGGAGGGCTGCGAGGATGATGAGGGGCTTGGAGCATCTCTTGTGTGAGGAAAGGCTGAGAGAGCTGGGGCTGGTTAGCCTGGAGAAGAGAAGGCTGAGAGGGGATCTGCTCAGCATTTAAAAATATCTAAAGAGTGGATGTCTAAAGGAAGGGGCCAGACTCTTCTCAGTGGTTCCATCTCAATATGAGGAAAAACTTCTTCCCTCTGAGGGTGACCGAGCACTGGGACAGGCTGCCCAGAGAGGTTGTGGGGGCTCCTTCTCTGGAGAGATTCCCAAACCACCTGGACACCATCCTGTGCAACCTGCTCTGGGTGATCCTGCTTTAGCAGGGGGGTTGGACTAGATGATCTCCAGAGGTCCCTTCCAACCCCTGCCATTGTGTGATTCTGTGAATAGCTCCACAAACCATGGACCTCATCATAACAGTATCTCCAGGATCCATGCACACTTATGAGAGAGCAAACTAAGAAAGTATCTAAGTCCAAAAGCTTCTGAGGCATTGTGCTAAGCACAGGAGACCATACAAGCTAACAGAGCCAGGTAAGACCTCAACAGCACATGTGGATAGAAGACAGTTGTCTAAAATGAAGCTACTTCAGTGAGATGCACTGCACAAAAGGTACATCTTGGACATTCAGAGACATGAGGTAATTGCTGTCTCCAACTGCCAAAATGAAATCAGATCATAGACTCATAGAATGGTTTGAGGCAGAAGGGACCATTAAAGATCATCCACTCCAACTCCCCTGTTGTGGGCAGGGACATCTTTTACTAGATTAGGTTGCCCAAAGCCCCGTCCAACCTGACCTTGAACACTGCCAGGGATGGAGCATCCCATCTAAATCTACCCTCTTTCTGTTTAAAACCGTTGCCCCTTATTCCGTCACTACAGGCCCTGGTACGAAGTCTTACTCCGTCTTTCTTATAAGCCCCCTTTATATAGCGAAAAGCCACAGTAAGGTCTCCCCGCAGCCTTCTCTTCTCCAGGCTGAACAAGCCCAACTCTCTCAGCCTGTCTCCACAGCAGAGGTGCTCCAGCCCTCACATCATCTCCGTGGTCTCCCCCTGGACTCGCTCCAACAGCTCCATGTCCTTCTTGTCCTGGGGACCCTCGAGCTGGACGCAGCACTGCAGGGGGGGTCTCACCAGAGCGGAGCAGAGGGGCAGAATCCCCGCCCTCAACCTGCTGGTCACGCTGCTGGGGATGCAGCCAAGGACACAGTTGGCTTTCTGGGCTGCAAGCGCACATCGCTGGCTCATGTCCAATTTTTTTTTCACCAGCTGAACTTCACGGCGTACATAGAACAATGCCGGTTTCATCACTGCCTGACAGGGGAGGGGGATGGACTCTCTCCGTTCAGGATGTGAACTGTCCATCATCACATGCATGTACAGCCCTTCAAGATGAGATCCCCATCAGGTGTCCCAAAACACTGAACACGGAGGGTCCTTTCCTCCAGCCATCAATGGCCTGAAGCGATCTGACCACCACAGCACACTCCCCACTTGGTGGCAGATGCATCATCTACTGTCATCATCCTCACCAGGGGCAGGAGGGTGTTCCCTGGAAGGTGCTAGCTCTGCTCAGCCACTGCCACAGAAAGACCTTCACAGACTGAAGAGTAACTGCACACCTGCTGAGAAGCCAGCACAGGCAACAAACCATACAAAGCCACAGCCAGAGCGCTCAACAGCAAAGGCCTGTAGGATGCATCATGAATGTGAATGCTGCCACGCGGCCAAGAAAGGGCCAGCAGCGCCGCAGAGGGACGCACACGCCTCACCAACGCAGGCAGATCCTGTGCGCTAACAAGACATAGAGATGCCTCCACTGAGCAAAGGCGCAGGACTGACTCAACAGAGACTGCAGAAGGAGAAGACCCCAGCATGCAATTTCTGAGCATCCACAGCAGGTTGGCGTCCTCAGAGACAGCCACATTCAGAGCCTGCAGGCTCGTCCCCTGGTAGATTTTATTGGCCAGTCATCTGAAGGCAGCATAGAAACAAACCGCTGGGACAAAGGTAAGCTGCAAAATTTTAAACGGAAGCATTTGCACATATTCTCCAGTTGTTCACTCACTCCGGACCTCTGAGCATCTTTTCTTCTTCCCTTCTCATACAGAGTTGCTCCTGCACCTTCTGCAGCCAAAACACCCTTATCCTGACCCACAAACTTTATGCCATATTTGTCTCTCTCCTGTCCCATTGAGCAGGGGGAATGATAGAGTGGCTAGCCAAGGTGAACTCATCACTGTATAGTGACTCATACAAATGATTATAGGAAACCGAAGTTGGGATTTAAGTAATAATCACCCTTTCGTGCTTTCTACCTCCTGGCCTACTGATAACGAAATGCTTGCTTAACTGTTTTCTAAGCCTGTGTCTTGCAGTGATACAGTTTACTTCTATGGCAGGGCTGGGGTTTTTTCTTCCTTTTTGTCTTTGGGATCACTTTGCAGCATTTATTTCAGGAGCTCAAATAGCTAAGTAGAGGGAACGGCTGTGTCCACTGGGGGAATGACGATGTGAGGCTTTGTACCCGCATTATTTGAGAGAGCAGAACTCCTAGCAAGATGGGGACGCACCACAACGGCTGCTGAGCTCCTGAGCAAGCACTGCCACAGGCAGAAAAGGAAACTTCAGCACAGCTTAAAGCGGTTGTTTGAAATAGGAAAATGAAATTACATTAACAGTTAGAACTGTCATGGCCTAAATGTGACCCACCTTAACTGACTTAAATAGAAAAAGGCCACTTTTACTAAGAGCAGCACAAAGATTTAATATAATCTGACTAGTAAATTCTGAGAAACTTTAGATTATCTGCACAGATAGGAACATTTATAATTCCGCTAGACAGTAAAAGTTAAGAGCACAGCTATATACGAGCAGAAAGGAAAGATTTTGTGCCCAAAGCTCGGGAAGAGACAGTACCTGCTGTACACTGGAGTTGGCTGTGACGCTGCCCAGCTGCTTGCGGAGCTCCTCGAGCTCCTGTAGAGATATCTTGGAAGTAGACGAGGGAATGGAAAAATTTGTGCTGCCACTGGTTGCTGCAGTTGCTGCAAGCTCTGCCCTTTCTTTAGCATTTTGCTGCAAATACTGAAGCGTCTGTACATACACAAAAAAGAAAAGATTTTGTGAACGCTGCTCAGCGCACACTAAAGCAAAAAACATATGATCATAAGACGGCCGCGCTGAATCAGACCACAGGTCTTTCTGTCCCCATTTCCTGTGCCTTAGTGCTTTATATGAAGAGAAGCATAATTCTCAGTAGTGCTTTAATAATTAAGTAAATGCTAGAACTGGTTATCTGTAGATTTCAATGCATTTCACTGAACGCTGCCATCAGAAAGCATGCTGTACTTAAATCATTGCATTGCTGCTACTGCTGAATACTCATAACACATCCAGTTCTAAAGGAGAAACAAACCTCTTTGTCTTCTGTGAGTTTTGACAGTAGATAAACTAAGGAATCTAGATGTCTTGTGTTTTTAGACTTCAGCTCATCGTACTTCTTTAAAAAATCTTCAGGAGTTCGAGAAAACTCTGCTATTTTTACCTGTAAAACACCACATCAATAATAAATGTTTAATGTATATTATTATCACAGCATTCAAAAGAGGAGCATTGTGCAAGGATGGAGTCAAGGTGTGGACTGGTGCTGCCGCCAAAGTACTTCAGGGAATGGGTTTTGGACTGAACCTGATGGCATTGGTCTCCTACTAATAATTTTGCCAGAGGAGAGGGGGGGTCCTGGCACTTCAGGTCCTGGCACTATCAGTGTAAACGACGCATAAGACTGGAATTAGAGAAAACACGCAGTTCAGGCCACAAAGATCTGAACTTTCTGATAGAGTTAGCAATCTTCTAGCACTTGGAGCTCGACTGATGGATCACTTTTAAAAACGACAACGAAAAGCAGTATTATGGCCACAGAAGTATGCCTGGTCATGACAGCGTCAGGCTTTAAGCCCTAATACTTGGGTGATATTCAGAAAAAAAATAAAGTTGGGTATTGTTCATGTAATCGCATTTCATACAGTTACTATTTTTCATTTGGTTTATTCCTCCAGAGGACAAACCTTCTAATTAAAATTTGAAGCAACCATCACAGGCACAAAATAAGCTCCTTCTTTGAGCTTCCCCCTCCACTGCAGTTGTAACAATCCTTCTCAGGTTCTTCCACCAATCTCTCCCAGATGCAAGGATTTTACCTTTTTCCTGATAGAATCTTTTTCCTGATAGAATCCTGATAGAATACCCAAAATTAAGATTCCAGATCAGATTACCCCCTTTCTTTAACCAATGCCAACACAATTTTGCTGTTATTCTCAGAAAAACTTGGGACAGCCATTACTCCTCGCAACACGTGTCCAGCTCCACACCCACAGAAGTCAAGTTATCTCCCAGAAGAGTACAGAAAACGTAGTTCACGTCACTGGCCAAGAGAAATCACGCTGAGGAACGTTTAGCTTGAACTCCTCCTTAGAGAGGACTGTGCTCTCAGAGCCGACGGAACCTCTATCAACAATTGCAAAGGAAGCACACCGCCTCAGGAGCCCTGCCGAAATGCAACTCGGCTGCAATTAAAGTACATCGACGCCTACCTTCGCGCTGTGGGCAGAGACAGTGGTAGTAACGTAAGGCGTTCGATTCTTCTGCAGAAGATCGATGTAGACTTCGGCTCCTTCCCCGCCGTGAACACGCAGCAGGCTGAGCAACTCGTTGACATCATGGTGAATACGGAACTCGCTCATCCTCCTACCTGAGGCTACAGGTTCTGCGGGACGCAGAAACAAAGGCAGTAACTTATTATTTTACCATCTGAAATGAAAATATACCCACACAAACAACATTTCCCATCTACATTGTGAACCTACAGGGCATGCTAAAATATTTGACTGGAACAAGGAAACACATGTGAGGGGAGGAAGCAAGCAAAACAGAGACACTGGTCATTGTGCCCCATCTAACTATACTGGTACAAACCCCACCTTACACGTAGGTGAGCCAGCAGAGGATTTTTCAATCTCAAAAACCACACTGGCAAAGGAAAAGTCACTGAGCTGCCATAAGAAGTGCTGGTTCATGTACCACCAGGCTGCAGACACAGCTGAAATTACCGGCTTTGGCAACCCACCCGAGCTGTTGCTTCTGAAGTTACTCAAAAGCAGATCTTCCAAGTTGAGGCGTCTTCATATTCTACTGCCCATTTTACTAACAGACAAGCAACAAGTTTTGCAAAGTTACTTCAACGATGGCCGCAGAAGTCAAAGTCCGACCGGGGCACCACGCGAGTACGGAGCTCAACGCGATGCCCCGCACAGGTGTGGAACACCAAGCGCCGGGACACACTTTTGCTTTACCACCACCACCACCATCGCCCAGGCTGGAAGGGCTCTCTGCAAGGCTCGGCCCAGCGACCCACCCAAGCCTGAGCCAAACCAGCGCAGGGCCTTCTCCAGTCCGAGCTTAAATATCTCCAAAGATCCAGATTTGTGCCCCCCCACCCCACTCGGGGCCCTGACCCGCACGGGGGAACACCTTTTCCTAACGCCCCGATACCGGGATCTCCT